AAAAAAAATCAACATCTAGTAAGCACAGAGTTTCAAGGGTGAGAAAACTAGGTCTGTTGGAAAGAAATCAAATTTAACATCCTTTATTATTCTTTTTGAGTAGTAAAAATAATTTTTAAGCCCCTGTGAAGAAATACTCTTCATGTAAAAGGAATACATTAAAACAACATATTTTACCTGAATTATTCAGATTGGCTACTGACCCTGACTGAGTGTTGCTTAAGGACAAAGACTTTTACATTCTGGAATTTTGGGTTCATGTAAGCACTCAAAAGTTTCAGATAAAACTAATTAGATTTATCACGATGGAAAAAAGATACTCAAATGAAAACATTGTCTGGTTTGATTCACCCGTCAGTGCCAGGGAGAGACTTTCTTAGAGACAGATCTTTTATTTTGTTGGTTGCATAAATTTCTCCCAGACTTTCTCCACTTCTAGAAATCTTCTAACAAAGTGAAAGTTCCTCATCTTTTTTAATCCAGGGAAAATAAACAAATATGTTCCAAGATATTTTAGGGTTTGATTTTGATATTTGGAGTGGAGAGATGACTGCCTGCAAGTCATTACGATTTTTGAAAGACAGAAGAACCATGTGAGAATTCATAGATTCAGCAAAAATTAGAAGTATTAGTGTATGTTTTATTAAGTGTCAAATTAGCACTTTACATAATCATGGCATTAGATGTTTGAGATAAATCTTATACATTGCCTAAACTTATTCCCTCTACAGATGAAGAAATGTGGAAATGAGATGAATCAGATATCCTGCAGTAGTATTACAGATAGTAGTGATGCCTTTTTACTTTTAATGCTCTAACATACGTTTAAATATTTTTTCAATTATTTTTAGCAAAAATTTTACCAATATCATAATTTTACTTCATTTTTAAAATCATTTCTTTTATTTTTTAAAATATTTTACTTACTTATCTGAGAGAAAGAGAGAGCGCATGCTCAAGAGAGAACACAAGCAGTGGGAGGGAGGAGCAGCAGAGGGAGAGGGAGAAGCAGGCTTCCTGCTGAGCAGGGAGACCAACATGGGACTGGATCTCAGGATCCTGGGATCACGACCTGAGACCAAGGCAGACACTTAACCGACTGAGCTACCCAGGTGCCCCCCAATATCAAAATTTTAATTTACAGGCTTATTTCAACCATTTACATACTTTTCAAGCCATGGAATATAAGAAACAAAACACATCAAGCCTCTAGGCTATTGTGTGGCAAAATACTTTAATATTAGGAGTAGGGGATGCCAATGTGTCAGCAGTGGTTTTGGTCAGTTAAAATGTTCAAGAAGCAGAATTAATTCTATTAAGCCACTAGGGTACTATATAATGCATGGCGCTAATTACTGAACTGAAAAAGATTATGCTATTTTCAGAAAGGCCTAATAACTCTCTCAGGACAGCAATTAAGAAAGTTTGACTCTGTGCTTTAAGTCCTTTCCTGACTGAAATGAGATTCTGGTGGGAAAACCATTATTTAAAGGGCCACGAAAAGGTCAGTCATGGTCACGTATTATTGTTGAATACCTTAACATCAGCAGAATATCACAGATGCAGAAGTTGAACCAAGGTTCAGATTGCTGATGTAACCAGGCCGAATGGATAGCTATCATCTTACAAGTTGTTGAAGACACCGAAACACTGAAAATCTATCTAAAAATAGAAGTATTTCTAAATTATTTTTGAGTGCCAAATCATCTTTATTATCTGCCTCTTTCAAAACTTTTTTTTTTTTTTTTTTTTTTTTTTTTTTTTTTTTTAAGGAAGGTAAAATGGTCACTAATTGTCCATTTAAATCTAGGTGCCATAATGGTTCTGGTCTGATGATTGTCAAGTAAAATATCACTACTTTTATGCCAGGGCTGAATAAAAGGCCAAAACAAATATTAGTGCAGAAATTTTAGCCAAAGTTCACAGAAATGATAATTACTTTTTTTTTCTTTCTCAGTGATTTATTTTCAAAGGGTTTCTTTATATTTTTCATTTCAACAAATATCTACTATGTGTCTACTGTGTGTAAAGCACTGTAGGACACTGGGGTCAGGAAGACACAAATGATGCAGACTGCCTTTCAGAGTCTTGTTTTTAACCCACAAATATCCTTCAACCGAATTTATATCACTATATAATAAACGAATGGTTATGATTGCTGCAATAGTTTTTTCATTTACAAATAAAGAAATCCGAAAGACTCAGCAATTGTAACAAACCCATTCATTTCCCTCCTTCCTGGTGCCATCGCCACAGTTAAGACAACCAGTTACTGGTTGCCTTACTCGGCTGCCTGGATTATTCGTGGTATCTTCCTAAAAGCTCACCTGCCATCAGGTGCAAACCCTACAATCTATTGTCAGCAGACAGTGTTGCAGAAGAGGGTAACCGGGAATCTTCCTGTATCAAAACTCTCCTCTGGTGGTTCCTTAATGCTCTCAAACTGGAACTTTGTCATTTCTCTGACACTTAGAACAGTGCCAGCTTATAGAGTAAAAACTCAATAGATAGGCATTGAATGGATAAATGCATTGATAAATGAATAAATGAATGAACGTTGCCTGAAATTAGCAAATTGGTGAACCAGATGTAAAATCTCTGTACCATGACTTTAGAGTAATTTTTTGTACAGAGTATAACAATGAAGAAATTTAACATTATTAACATATTTCTTGGTTATTAAAATATGCAAAATGTTGAAATATTTATATTTTACTTGTATTTATTGAATAAGGATGATTTTAACTAAGAAACTATCAAAGATTTGTTAACTTCTGGAGAAGACCAAAAGTTTAAAACAATCATCAATTTAATATTCCCACAACTTGAAATAGTTTATATTATCTCCCAAGCCTAACCACAGGGAGAATTTCATGTACTGAATTGCATTTTTGCAGGTTTTTATGCCTATAACCTAAGTTTTTATTTTGGTGACAATAAAACACGACTTAAATTATCAGGCTATGTACCTGGTACAGTCAATGACCCAAAAGACAATATAGAAAGAAATAATCTCATTAGGAAATATTCTTGCTTTCCTTTCTTAAACAGATCATATATAGAAGATAATGCTATTTTTTTATTAGAAAATACTGTATCATTACCCCAAGTAGTTTTTCTTCCTTTTTTCTGCGCATGGAGCAGAAAAAATCATGAAAGCCCTGTCCAGTGATTCTTATCTTTTACATCTGCTGACATTAGAAGAGACTCATCTCTTGGTAACTCCCACAAAATGTCCATCTCTCACTCAATCCATATATTTTGAATTTTTACGGCAGAAAACAAAACAAAACAAACAGAATAAAAAGTATGGCTTCCTGACACTGTCATGCCCTTGTACCACTTTGAATCTGTGTACATTCTCTTTCTCCAACACCCTCCTATAGTTTTTCTCCTGCTCAACCACATGAAAAGCCCTGCTGAGACACACCCCACCCCTGGAGAGCCCTCCTTAACATCCTTTCTCCCATACTGTCCTAATCATATGTGGAGAGCTGGCGTATTTTACATGCATCATTCTCTGTTTTGCTTATTTGCTTATTGACATGTTAGTCTCCTCCATTAGACTGTGGATTTTCAAAGATAAGAGTCTTTTCTGTTTGGGGGGGGGGGCTTGTTTTTGTTTTTACTTTTGTTTTTGTTTTTAAGTGCTACAGCGGGAAGGGAGTAAGCTCCCAGCAGAGTGAAATCTGGAGCTAGGTTTTGTTGAAATTGTTAACAGAATGCATTGCTAAAAATCTCCCAGGCCCCAAATTTGCCTTGCATTTTGATATATGACCCATGCACTTCAATAATGATATGACTTCCATGAGAAAATAGTCATCTCATTTTGCTCTCATCCTTCTCACAGTAGACAGCAGTGGTAGGAACACGGTGACTAATCGAGTATTCAAAAGGAGCACTTTAGTTCTATTTGGAGATGAATGCCACATGCAATCTTCATCAGAGAGCTTTAAAGGCACCATCTTGGAATGGATGGAAGCCTGCAATTCCACAGAATGAGAGCAGCAGGCAAAGACGCACCCTGAGCACAGGAGGAGACATACCCTGACATCAATGAAAAGACTAGATGTCCATTTGTCTTCTTATCAGCTTTGCTACCTGAAGGTACCCCCACAAACCCACAGTACTCTTATAAACAGTGTACATGGGAATATCAGTGAAGGTCACCAAACAAAGTCACCTAGTTTTGAGGAAAAAAAATAACTTTGGGTTATTCTTTAACATTCTATGAGATGGTTTCTTGAATTTACCTTATAATTAACAGGATCTATTCACATATCCGAAAATAGAGAATTCAACGCTTTCAATCCTTACCTAGGATCAGTCTCATAGCCAGACACAAATTTAAAGCCAAAAATCCATATCTGTTTTTTCTTTTCATTATGTGCAGAAAACAACCACAAAATCTCTGTCTGAAGTATAAACTGGGAGAGCAACTAAAATAACACTGTCCTGGCTGGTTCATACACATCTGCTTAATAATACACAAATAAACAAACGAAATCACTATGTATCTGAAATGCTTTGCAACTTTTGTTCTTATTTTTCATAAGTCTAGTTTCATAAAGAATGTGATCATCTCATTCCACACACGCTATGATCCTCTCTTATCTCCGCTGTCAATAAGGTGACCAACAGAAGGAAGAAAACCTTCCTATCAACAGCAGAAGCATTTAATATTTAGAGGTAAATATATGTAGGTAGGTGTATGCATAATAAAATATGTTGAATAAACAAGTGAAGTCCAGACCCGTGGAGAATAAAAGATGAGTCTGGTCATGTTCGTATCAGAACAGTGCACTGCATTTAGAATTCAAAGATTCCTTGTTTGATTTCATAAAGCACTTATTGCTTTTTGTTCCTAAAACAAATTAAGATTTTCATCTTCTTCCTAGAGTGTCCCAGAGAACACACTACTTGCCAGCAGTTAGATACAGATAAAGATACAGATATATAGATCCAGATGTAGATGGACATATTAGTAGATAGAGAGATACCTTAATTGTAGTCGTGTGTGCGCCAGGGTATTCTTTTTCTTCCAGTGTTGACCATCTTTCTATAAATTTGGATACCAGGGAATCATCATAGTCCACTATCTGAAATCCAGAGACGTTTGCACCTCCAAACTGAATTTTTAATAGGTCTCCATCAGTAAATCCCTAGACATAGAGCACATATGTCAGGCTTTCCATTAAGACTCAAAGAGAACTTAACATTTACCCAATAATTCCATACACTGTGGTTTTACAAATGTCAAAGAACACGAGATATAAAAAAGCCTGGAGGAAATGTTTCGTGTATTTAGCAACCAATACTCTGCACTAGTACCTACTGTCATCTTGGCATCACAGCGGATCCTTAATCAATGATTGTTTATTGGTTGTACTCACATAAAAGCTCTCCATTTTACTGAGAAATCTTCCGTGGGTAAGTACTGGTTTTATTTATTCAATCTACAACAGAGCACTACCACATAGTTATAAATACTTAAGAACATAAAGCTAGTTCCCCAAGAGATATAACATAGTAAGCAAGTTATTCCTATTTTAATTGTTCATTCTCATAGGTGATAAAACATCTTTAAAATGAGAACAGAAGGTACTAAATGCCTAGTCATCATTTGCAAACACTCAAGCAATATCATATTAAGTACGGAGCTTAACTTTTTATAAAATATATGAAAGTTTCAAAATCAATCTCTTGCATTATTAGAATGAATTCAGTCATTAGTAAAACTATCATGTGGTGCTGCCATTACTTTCAAATATTGCACTGTCATAAATTCTATCTCAATTTGAGAGGACATTATCCCAAGGATGAAGTCACAATTTTAATAAACCACAATTATAAGTATTTTTTACTTTATACATTTACTTCTCATTATTCTGCGTAAGGATTGAAAATATCCCCAAATCTCAAATATGGGAGAATCTTTTCTTTGTTATTGATATTAAAAAACATATTTTAGTACTATTTGTGTAAAGAAGGATAATTACTTCATTATTGGGTAAATTTTGGTTTTTCTTTTTATTGAAATAATGTAAATAGTGCAAGAATATATGTAACAAAAATCACAGATTTTCTGCTCTGTCCCATCCATGCTCCAGTTAAGCTGCTTCAAAACAAGCAATTTCAGTAATTTTTGTTTTTCATATATTTACAGCCATATTTCTGCACACATCTTCTCTATTTTTTCTTAATTTATCAATTTTAGATATCTTTATTGAGTTTCTGCTTATGTGTGATGTGTATATAATTCATCCAGATTTACCTGCTCACCCATTTTCATGTTCACAGTTATCATATTTATAATTCTGTTATTCAGAGCAGTCAAATAATGTGGTATGACTGTATTTTCCTTTTTTTATTTTTTTCTTAAGAGAGAGAGAGCACTAGTAAGAGGGGAAAGGCAGAGAGGGAGGGAGAGAGAGAGAATCTTAGGTAGGATCCATGCTCAGCACAGAGATGGAGCTCAGTCTCACAACCCTGAGATATCATGACCTGAGTGGACATCAAGAGTTGGGAGCTTAACCAACTGAGCCACCCAGGTGTCCCTGCATTTTCCTTCTTGAATAGTATCTCACTCTAATGTTAATAATTGCTTCATTTTTTTCACTACTATAGTTTTCTCTGTACCTATTCTTATTTTTCTGTAGTTGCTCCATGAAAAATTTTCATGTTTATATGAGTAAATCTTTTTTAAAGTAATATCAAACATATCAAGTAATCTATTTCTCTTTTTTCTGAATATTTAATTTACAGGAGACCTTCTGAATGCTGCGATTTGAATTGATGCCTCTTTCCATCTCTTCTGCAACTGTTACTCTGGAGTGTCCCTTCACCATGTTGCTGACTTGTTCTCTCACTTCCTGGATCACTAATCTCTCATGTTTTACTCCCTTCTTCTTCCAGAGTGCTCAACAGTTTCTCAGACACATTGGAGGTAAATTTTTTGAGACACTGAATGTCTCAAGATATCTTCATTTTGCACTGACACTTGATTACTCTCATAACCCGAAGACATCGTTCCACTGACTTTTATTGTTCCTATTGAAAAATACCATGTCATTATTTCTAATTATTTTTTGCATGTGACCTGCTTCATATTTCTGTCTGCCTTCTCCTCCCACCTGTCCAAAACTTTTAAGATCTTCTATTGATCTCTGAAATTTCATGATGACATTTTCTTTGAAACATAAAAGAAGTCTCTTTTCTTTCATTGTTTTGTGTAGTCAACGGGCATATTTGTGTCATCGAGTACTGGGAATTTTTCTGAATGTTCTTTGATAATTTCTTTCCCCTGCCACTGTCTGTCTTTCTAGAATGCCTATTATTATGACACTGTAACTTTTAGATTGAACATCTAAGTTTTTCACAGGTTCCCTGTACACACTACCTCATATTGTATTGTTTTGTTACATCATCTGGAAGATTTTTCTTAAACTTATCATCAAAGTCATATAATTTTACTTGTTGTAGTAGGAAAAAAGTTAACTTTCCATAATTATTTCTTATTCTCTGAGTTTTTCCTCTTTTTCATAACATACTTTCTCTCTTCTTTACGGATAGTTAATTTTCTCCTATTACTCTGCAGATACTCTTTACAATTTTAAACATTTTTCTTGTGTTTTCTGCCTGCCCTGTTTCTGTTTATTTATTCATTCATTTATTTGTTTTGTATTACATCCTTCATGGCCCAGACTTTTCTCAAATGCCTGATTCTCCTTGGCTATTTAACACTCAGACACTAAAAGATTTCTTGGAATTTCCACGTGCCCGGGGGAGGCTACCTGATGAAGTGTTTCACTGTATGGTAGTCAGGTGGGGGTGGATTGCAGTACTTTCTGTCCATATCCAGGTTGAAGAAATGAGAACTGCCTCCCTTTACGACAACTTCTTCATCACTTTATGTACAAACTATCCTTTTAAATGCTGCATCAGGAACTTAATCACAATCTGTGTTTTGGGAGCCTAATCAACCATTACCTGTTCCTGAGGAAATTCATCAATAGCTGTATCTGAGGACTTTTCTTTTATCACCACCTCATTTAACACTAATTAGACCCTAGACAGAGAAAGGGAGATATCTCCAATCGAGAGTTTGGAAGATGAAAGCTCTTCAACTCTGAACGGCATTCTTCAATTTTAAATGTCAGTGAAAATTTCAAGTGCCCTCTAAATTCTCAGAAACTGCAACGCTTCTCAGATACTTTGAACTTAGTGACTCACTGGAAGTTCCATATGGTGAAGATGCCAAGTATTCAGAAATGGAAAAGCAGAATTTGAATTCAGATAAAATACAAGCCATGTTCCTCCCTAGAAGATGACAGCAACAGACACACGTTTTCTATTTTCTAATTTTTTTTCCCCCACTTTGGTCATCTGTACATTTCTTTCCATTTCATAGCATCAGATATCAACTCTCAAATTGATGAGCCACCTTCTGTCATTATTTCTCAATGTTCCAATACAATCTTCTCCATCTGGACATTTTTAAAGATCACGGCTTTCAATGTGGCTCTGTGTTGTTCATCAAATGGCACAATTCACACAGGGGACTGACTGTCCAGGCTGTTCCCTGCACAGAATGTGGTTCTAAAGAGAGTGAATACAGAGCTTCATTTATTTTAACCCCTGCTTCTCTGGTAGGGAGTCATTTAGGATCTGCAATATCATATCAATAGATAAATTCTGATGAATTTTGTAATAGCCATTTCACTGGCAAACAGAAGTTTTATCTGAACAACCAACTTCTACTAACAACATGCAGATTTGAGATTTAATATTCTAAATCACTGGTGCCACCTTCTAGTGAAAACAGCATTTATTAGTTATAAAGTTTTTTCCCCCATCATTACTAGAAATAATGTCTTCTGATAGAACAATATAATATTCTAGAAACTACCTACAGAAACAAATCTACAGGGGTGCCTGGGCTCAGTGGGTTGAGCAGCCAACTCTTGGTTTGGCTCAGGTCATGATCTCAGGGTCATGACATCAAGCCCCGAGCAAGGCTCCATGCTGCTGAGCATAGAGCCTGCTTGGGATTCTTTCTCTCCCTCTCCCTCTGCCCTTACCCTCCATCCCTCTTTCTAAGAAAAAAAGAAAGAGAAAGAAAGAAAGAAAGAAAGAAAGAAAGAAAGAAAGAAAGAAAGAAAGAAAGAAAGAAAAGGAAGGAAGGAAGGAAGGAAGGAAGGAAGGAAGGAAGGAAGGAAGGAAGGAAGAAAGAGAGAAAAGGAAAGAAAGAGAGAAAGAAAGTAAGTCTACATTTGGGTAAATATGAGACCTTTCCAAAGTCTTATTATGCTATTTAGAATAAGCTCTCATTTTCTCCCTCTTTTTCTATCTTCCTGAGATTGGGGAGGGCAGTTTTCTCAGTCAAGTAAGATCACACTTTATCAAAGAACATAAAACTTTGCAACAATAAAGGCTTAAGGTCATTTTACTACTGATCTGAAAACTATTTTGAAAAAAATGTCTAACAATAATTCTAACTTGGCTCTGATTATACTTAAGAGAAGGAGACATAGTCAAACACTTAGATGTTCAGTATAATCATAATTTGACAGAAAGCCCAACGAAAAAGTGATCAGCTACAGGGATTTAATGTCATTGTGCTGCTTTCAGAGTAAATAGAAAATCAGAAATAAATAAAAATTCTTGACATTTGCAGCTTTAATTTTTCTCTAAGGTGTATTTTCACAAATGTGTATTTATCTCAAATACTATGTTTACTGAAAACTTTAAAGGAATGCACAAAGGGAAAAATTATAAAACATTGTGATAGTGAGAAACAAGAGGAAATTTGAACAATTGAACTTTAGATATTTTTTAAAACTTTTCCATAATTAAATATGCCTTCTAAGACAATTTATAAAGTTTGTCAAATATTTCTTACATCACTTACAATAGGAAATTGATTAGAGTATATAAAGTGGGAAGTCAGTCTAAAACACAAACTGAGAAAAACATTGTTACTTCTAATTGATCAATATAATCAAGATATGTTTTTAACAGTACCACTGATAAATGCTGGTCCTTCAAAACTATTTTCTAAGCATCTCTATTAAAAGTAAAAATATCAATTAATTCACCTACCAGATTTGCAATGATATAATGGTAACCTTTAACATGTTTTCCAATGGTAATAACCTAACAAAGATAAAGAAATAATTATTTAATACATGCAAATAATATAAATTATAATTATTGATGTTATGACCTGAGGAAAAAAGTGGAATTTTATCTACTATGTTTTCTGATATTCTGTGATGGATCCTATTTGACAAAATATAATTCTCAAATACAGAGAATATTTCTCTCAGAAAAAAGTAACAATACATTCCAGTGCTTTATAAATGCTATCTTTCAAGAAGTCAATAAGTAAACAAATAATTATTTCAGTTTTGTCTTCGGTGAAAATAAAGTCACAAGATTTTAAGAAATGTAAAATGAAAAGAATATTGAATCCATAAGTCATAATTTTATTTCTACAAAAGCTATTTTTCTAAAACATTAGGCAGCTGAAATCAACACCTGAGATTTTATACTCACACACTGACACTCAAATTTATAGTAGAACATTAATTTAAAAATTTGAATAAGCACATAAAAGAATTCTTAGATGAATTTATAAAATAATATTCCCATCTTAAGAGTCTTGAGATGCTTGCAATTTAGTTCAAATGAACATGATTATTTCCAGCTTGAGGCAGCAAAGCATCAGAGAAACTACTCTTTCTCCACAAATCTAAGTTAAAACTCAATGGCGAGATAAACGTATGATGGAACACGATGTTGAGCTCTTATTGGTAATGCTCATTACAGTTTGGGACATTACAGAATCAGTGTGACTTGTCACTGATCTATAGCAATTCAAGAGAGTAAGACATTGGTGAAATGGACATGCTGTAGTCCTAGTACTTAGATATTCAAATGTAGCTCTTATTTTTAAGAAAATTTCACACTATAAGAAAGCAGGAAATGCCAGGGCTGCAGAGAAACATTCAAACCATTAGCTCATTTCCCTGATGACACAGTTTTGGTGACTTCCCATTGCTTCTAGCATAATAAGCAAAATCCTTAATTTATGCTACAAAGTCCAGTAATCTTGCAAGCTTCTCCAGGCCCTCTTTTTCCACTCTCATTGGCCCTCCTTTTAACTATTTTTGTACACGAAAAGGCTTCTTTCCATCACCTCAGGACTTCACATATTCTGCTTCCTTGCTTGGAAAGCAGTCTCAACCACCATATCATTTGTCTTATTAATGCTTCAGACACAAGGAATCTGAGCCCAATGTTACCTCCTGGGAAAGGATTTCCTTGACCTTCTCTTATCCCAGACAAAGTCAGGTACTCTGAAGCAATGCATTTAGTTAAAGAACCAGGGCAAAATCTTAGGAAAGATTCCACCAAATGCCCCTTTGATGTTAAGTGATAGCTATTTGGAAGAGAGGGCTTGTATCATTTTCTAACCTATTTTTATGTTATACAGCTAAATCACTTTTTCCAAGAAAATGAACCCTCTGTATTGAAGGGAAAATTGCAAAGAAAAGATGTCCTTCTACATGAAAAATATATTAATTAGCATCACTTGAATTTAATTGATTTTGTCCTTTATACTTCCTACTGACATCTGTTGGTTCTGTTTATTGTTCACTCTACTTTCAGAATCATGCATGCCTTCCTTCTGGGAATTAAAAACAAGCAAACAAGCAAACAACAACAACAACACAAATCTTATAAATGGTGCTACCAGTAGTTGAGTAGAGCGTTCACTGAATTGGAGGGGATATGAAAATTCACTAGCTCTGCCTCTACATAGGAATTCATGTTGACCATGCCATCATATTTTTGTTTATAATAGTAATTTACACTACACTAACAATAGTAAACTTATATTGATTTCTAAATGTTTCTGATGGCTGAGTCCTTTTTCCACCCAATCACAACCAGAAATATATAACTCTAAGGTTTTATTGAATGATAAAATTTTCATAATCAAGAAAGATTCGTGTTCTTTCTAACTTTAAGCTATTATAACAGTAAAGTTTCATCACCTCTGTTCTCTTATAAGTATTTATAGAGTAAATAAGTAAATACTGTTTCTTTTTCTTTAAATGTAGTTCAATCCCACTTTTTGCTTGGGTCACTCTATTCCTTGAAGGTCTTCCATGATCTCCTAATCTAAATTTTTTTGTAATTTTTTTCATAACATCCTGTTCTCTTCATTCATATATACCACCATATAATTGCATATTAATTTCTGTAAATGTATCATAAATATTTACCTTAATGGGGTTGCCTGTTTTATTTAACATTACTTTCTTGGATCTACCACAGTGATTGTCTGGCAATATTAGACACCCAAGGAAATTTACTGAATGAGTAAATGAATGAAAACAAGCCAGACAAATGCTGCCAGTATGTGAACCCTCCATAGATCCTCCTTTCCCTGTTAAAGATAGGTTCTTCCTCCTCCTCTTAGACCACATTGCTTTCTAACTTGTAGAACTACAGTGTGACATGTAAAATTTGCCTTCCCCTCTAAACCATGGGTTAATGGAGTACAGCTATTGCTATTCCCTGTCTTTGCACATTTCATTCCAGACACAGAGGATGTCTGCAGTTAATGTTTGCTGAATGATGCAACCAACCACTGTACACACTCATTTAATAATTCAAGAGTGTCTTATGAAAATACAATAAACATGTGCAAAGTCTCTGTACCTTTTGAATGGATGTCCATATGAACATTTAATCATCATATATTTGTTTCAACATTTTTACATTCCATATATTCCCAAATTCTCCTATAGTTTCTGTCTTCTAGTTTTGGAAATAATTATTTTCACGTAGACTTTCACCAACATTAATTATGATGATCCATGAATACATAAATTCTTTAAAAAAAGACTAATGACTATTATTAAAATTCAGTTTTAATGAGAATCTCCTATGAAATTCAAATGAGTTGCTGAGGATCACATTTGAACAAGAGACCTTCAGGTTTAAACAGCCCTAACTTCATCTCCTGAGACAAGAATTAAGACTTTTTCACTGAAATGTTCACCTCTCTGGCATAAAACATTTAGCTCTTTCTCATAACAAGTTAGTTTATCGAGTTATTTAATATTTTATGTGAGATTCATTTTGTATGTCTTAGGGCCTGTATTATTACATATCAATTAAAGCTACATCAACATTTATGTTTCCAAAATGCTTTGTGTTATACAAATGGTGAATTAATTTTTTACTCAAAACCTAGAAGGGCCAAGAAATGCATACTTAACTGCATATTTTTCTTCCAATCCTATATTATTCCAAGGAACTAACAGCCACTACACACACACACACACACACACACACACACACACACACACACTTATCAGTTGGGAAAAGAAGCAGATACCCAGTGAAGCAGATCTTAACTTACTAAATCATGATGCTGCTTCACCAACATCCCTGGTCATTTACCCTACATTTAATATAGTGGATCTTATTTTTATCATTAGGATATTACTGAATGGCTGTCCTATCCTAAAAGACCTAAAATGGAATCAAAGTGGTATGGTAAGCACAGATAAAACATCCTTATGTCCAATAAACTTCTCAAACAGCAAAGACAGACTGAATATGTCTCCCCTACATATTTTAATTTCATAGATTAATAGTTTTATAGTGACACAAAGCCCACCTAGCAGGAGGAAACAAAAATCTTGGAAAAATAAATATAGGCTTTCTCTGAACACAGATGCGTTCAGACAACACAGGCTCAATGTTCCATACTGTGCTCTAATATTTGATGTTCTCCATGTTTTGCCATACACTACTCACTTCTCTCTTAGAACCCCAGCCTTATTTTCACTTAATTAGTGGACATTTCTTTACCTCTAAAATGTTCAACAATTTAAATTTTAAATTTCCAACTAAAAATATCAAACTTTAGGGCAATGCTTATCATATAGAACATAAGACTCAGTAGCTACAGATTGAATATAGTTAATGATTAGTATGGTGTGTCAGCATGATTGAAGACCATCTGATATTGCTAACTGAAACCAGAGGTAATTTAATTGATGACCTTTGCTTCATCCTACATAAACCATAAAGGAAAAACTGCTGTTCAGCACCCACACGAATACAGGCTGCAAATGCTGACACCACACGCACGCACATTCTATACTTGGTGCCATTAGAAAACAGAGTAGCCAACCTGGTCTACGATGTCATTTACTTTATCCCGTTCACAGTCCAGGATTACACGCCGTTCCTTTTTTAACTCCAGATCTTGAAAAAGTGATCGGTATGTCTCATCTTTCTTGTCATTGTTAATGTTTCCCACGTTGATAGCAGTCACTTGCCATTTCTTTTCCGCAGCAGAATCCAGTACAGCTTGCAGTGTTGATAAGCCTAGGAAGGCAAAGAAAAATGATGACCATAAAAGATATTTGGATAACTCAGAATTACGTTGTGAAATTGACAGCAAATATATTTTTAAGTCTGATATTCTTGTGCAACTGAGGGGATGTTGACTCCTCTAAAAAGCTACAGTGAGGATCTCTATCGACATTGAACTATTTCTGCTTCACATCAAAAACTCTTTTATCTATATGCTATTGTTCTGATGGAAAGAACCATATTTCGGGGGGATAGTCTCCCCTTCTTTCAGTTCTTTCAGCTGTTTCTTTCGGATATTACCAAAGAGTAATGTCTGTGATACCTTTGGTTAATGTGAGATCCAAAGACATGACACACATTTCTTTCTCTTACAGAATGGGAAAGACTGTTTCTTTACATATGACAACCTATCATTTCATATTAACATCCTCAAGAGGATGTTAAATGAAAATGTTGCAAACATTTTCAGGGAGACAAATCTACATGAGTCTCTGTGAGCATACGAGCCAATAATCTCAATGAGGCTGTTATATTTCCTCCTATTGTCTTCCAGTCAGCCGTTGTTTTCCTCAGCCTTCTGTCACATCATGTTTTTGTTATTGAGACTGATCCCATAGAGATTAAAATGTTCACCTATTAACCAGATGGTAGCAGTTAGTTTTCTAACTCAGATTTGTTACATTTACGTAACTTTTCAAATGTAAGACCTGTTTACTATTTATCAGTAACTTTGCTTATAACATCATATGACCTAGAAAATTTCTTTGTATTTTTAATAAAAATATATTGCTTCATACATAGGATTGAGAAGGAAAATAATTGGGGAACTTATTCCCTAAAGTTAAATCTTCAGTTTAGCACTAGGAAAAGCAGTACATAAACTTGTCTTCCACATCACTTCAAGTCTTCACAGCCAACCTAAATTCATCATTTCTATTAATAGCTTAATGAACAACACAAAATCTGGGCTCCAAAAAAGAATTCAGGACTCATCACATCATCTTTTTGATTCCAGAAAGTCCTACATCTTTCTCAGAAGAATGCTGATTTCTTTTTAGCCATAAAATGTGGGATTTTCCTAATATGATCACACTACTCTATAAATTTTATTCACGTACTACACTTTATTTTCAACCTACTTACTATGGCAAAAATATGTGCATTGTAAAAAATAAAAAAACCTACTGAACCTGGAAACAGCATTAAAAATTGTATTGATTCAATACTGACCAAGAGTATATAAGATTAGCTTAGAACATCTTGTGATACAAAATGCAGGGAAGCTCTCCAAAACTATCAGAGTTGTGTCAAAAGACTCAGGAGTCAATGTGATGAAGATCAAGTAAATTTGAGGCAATTTGGATATCAATAGGAATAATAACCGCAAAAGACTTAAATATATAATATATTTTAAACCCATAAATTATTATTAATACCTAAAATTATAAACTACCGGGACACCTGGGTGGCTCAGTTGGTTAAGCGGCTGCCTTCGGCTCAGGTCATGATCCCAGCGTCCTGGGATCGAGTCCCACATCGGGCTCCTTGCTCGGCAGGGAACCTGCTTCTCCCTCTGTCTCTGCCTGCCTCTCTGCCTACTTGTGATCTCTCTCTCTCTCTCTCTCTCTGACAAATAAATAATAATAAAAAAAAAAAATCTAAAATTATAAACTACCAAAACTGAAACAGCAAGAAATAGAAAACTTGAACAGACTGATAGCCAGCAAAGAAATTGAATCAGTGATATATTTAAATACATATAAATATCTGGTTGCCTTTGAAGAATACTAGGAGCTGAGTTATTATTTTGAAAGGAAAAGAAACAAACATTTTCCTACCCCTCCTTTATGACCTATACTCAGGGTAATAATTAGTTAAGACAGCTTTTCCTTTTTTGGAAAACCTCATTTGTCCAGCTGACAAATGACAAATGATGAAGGAATATAGATTCAGAATTACAACCATCTTTTAACACATAGTGAATTAATGAATCAAGGTAAAAATCATTAACTGCTGCTAAAATGCAAAAGTTACCTGTCTCTAAATAGGAATATTTAACATCATCTATGGAGTATTCCTGCCAAAAAATGAACATGAATCTTGCCAGACTTCTAGCTCTAGCTACCGATTTATAAGGAATATGTGGCAGAGTAATATGCTAAATATCAGAGTGTTGCAATCATCAAATTGAAACTCTACATATGTTATTAAAGACTTAAGAAATATATCAACCAATTGGGGGATAAATACCTCATTTTTATCTTGATTCAAATAAACTGTGGGGAAAAATAGATGATGATATTAATGAATTACTGTAAACCTGCCTGCATATGATAATGACATTGTGTTTATTTCACAATACAAACTGAAATATGTACAGATGAAATTACATGATGTCAGGTATTTGTTTCAAAACAATTGTGAAGGACAAGGGATATAGATAATAATACAAGAATTGCTTGTACATTTGTCATTAACAAAGCGGAGTTAATGGGGCGCCTGGGTGGCTCAGTGGGTTAAAGCCTCTGCCTTCAGCTCAGGTCATGATCCCAGGGTCCTGGGATTGAGCCCCACATCAGGCTCTCTGCTCAGCAGGGAGCCTGCTTCCTCCTCTCTCTCTCTGCCTGCCTCTCTGCCTACTTGTGACCTCTATCTGTCAAATAAAAAAATAAATTCTTTAAAAAAAACAAAGCTGAGTTAAGAGTCTTTGGGGATCTTCATACTATTCTATTTTTTATTTAAAACATTTCATTGTGAAAATTGAAAATAATTCATTTTTATTTCAAATTGGGAAGTTGAGCCACAAACTGAACGTAAAGGGAATTTGTGTGCTTTTTTTTTTTTTAACAAAACAACAATAATCGTTTCTTCTGTCCAGTCATGTACCAAAAACAGGATACACAGGAATTTCTCAAAGAATAACTTAAACAAGAGACCACTTTCCATTGTAAAAAAAAAAAAAAAAAACTCTATTAATGATAAAATTTCTTTTAAAAACTTCATGGATCACCTATGATTTCCATCCACTACCTATAAATAAATCATTCTATGGTATAATTCAAACCCTCTTCCTGTTTTTCATCAGTGAAGATAGAACATACAGCTGGCCATCATGATCAATTCAAGAGCTCTCAAAGTGCTTGAAAACAGTTATTAAATCTATGCAGTCTTCTTTCCCGAGTAGGAAAAATAGCTAATTTTCTAAACCTCTTTCACTATCTAGGTCCTACTTTTTCACAAATTTTGATCTTTATGCAACTAATACTTCCTTGTTACCTCCTTAAAAACATTATATCTATGAATGATCTTCCATATGCTATCCATGTCTTATCATATAACACTGCAATTCCTTTATTCTAAGCAGAAATTATTTTTTGTTTTTATTTAATTATGAAGTTGACCATATATTAAAATTTCAAGTGGTGATGTTCTTGATATTCTATCTCATCTTTCAATATATATTACAAGAAATTTTAGATACAAATAATGATTTGTAAATCGGTTTAATCAAGTGATATTTCTATACCTAACATTGGCAGTTCATCTTGTTAAAAAAAAGGAAGATGATATAATGTAATATATATGAAGATGATATAATGTAATATATTAATAAGAAGGCATTTAAAAAAAATAGTTGAGTTTTCAATGAATGCATTCTATGTGTCAAAAGTAACTCACAGTTGGTGTGGATTTTCTCTTATTCAAACTCTCAGAATTAATGTTTTGTAACCTATGAAGCCTAAAAACATTACATCCACTAAGAAGCTAAATAGCTCAAGTGGTGCAATATCAGATTTGATTAATTTAGTGTCATCAGAAGATAATGAATAATATTAAATCATCTAGGAACAGCCAGAAGTAATTCACAAACCATAATATAGTCTGACTCATGATTTAAAGAGATTGCTGTCCCATGTTTAGTAATCCATATTCTTAGACTTGTTTTTTCAGTAATAGTAACAGACCTCTTAGGCTCCTAACTTGATCTGTGTCTTCCTCACAACTAAGACTTTTATGTTAATTCTGGTTAGTTTAAAATTAACAGATCATTTTAAAAATCACTGAAAATACATGTTACAACTATTGAGGTGAAATTAACCTCTTCAAACCTAACACGAATTCATTTCTTGGTCTCTTGGTACCACATTCTAATTAGGGGAAACAATATTACCTGAGATAATTACTCTTTCCTTTCCACACAAACTAGCATAAAATTATCTTCATAAATACCTCCATCTTTTAACCAGACTATAAACTTGGATGAACAGTGGGACTTCTTTAAAAATACTGGTTTACTTCAAGTTATTAGTAAGTAGTAATTGTTCTACTCTAGTATCTATACTGTATCAGGATATTTGAATTATAGCAGAAACTGATTTCTTTTTACCAAATTACTCAGAACAAAGAAAGCTTGAGATACACAGTTGTTCATCTACAAATTGGAAAATTAAAAAAAAAAAACCAACAGAAAATTAACGATTCCTCCTAAATCATATATTTAAAATGCATTTTAAAGTAACTCAAGAATATTACAAAGTCTAAAATTAAGTTCTAAACTCTATAAATTCTCAGGCTTTTGGCTAAAATAAAGAATAGATAGACTATGTTTTGTTGGATTACATTACCACTTCAAATGCTTAATTGTTGCAAAACTAGTTATAGTTGTATAACCTATTTGTGAGCTGACAATCACCCTAAAACTCTTCCAAAGTATTACCATCAGTACTTCACAGTTTCATCTTGAGCTAATGTTAATAATACTGTGAGAGAGTTATAGAAACATCATCAGCCTAAAGATAGGTAAAGTCTAAATGTTTTAATTGGTATATTAGCAGGTAGATTAAAAAATGATTACTGCAAATAGGTATATTTCATTCAGATCATTTCTTTCTTTTCAAAAATATTTTCTTTGTTTCATTTAAAATTCACTGCCCTTATTCATCTTTCAGGCACAGAAATTAATATTTATGATCACTAAATCATGGCAGCATGCCTAGGCAGATTAGATTAGC